GCATGGTGCGGATCGTCCAGGAAGGCACAGAACAAAGGTATGATCAAAGGTATGGTTGTGTGCTTTAGCTCAAGTGTGTCACCAAGCGATGCAAACAGGAAAAGACCTCCCAGATGTCTTCCCAGGCCCTACGTTAGAACTCACATCCTAAGGACGCACTGGAAGGTGACAGCTGTATTGGACTGTTGCAAGGCTGCATGGGAACAATCCTAGTCCTTTGCGTGATTTTGCATGTTTATCATTGTTGTCTACAAAACTTCTGCCGAAGGTTGCTGTGGCAGACGGGCCATCCCTATGAGTCAGGGTAAGTGGGAACTTCTTGAGGGAACGAAATTGCCCGGTTTGTTGGTAATCCAGACCCCCTCGGCACCGAACTCGGATGCGCAAACCAACTAGTCTGGGGGACGCAACCCTGCACACTACTTTTGCGGTGCTTGCGGCCTACAAGAGCAGGAGGAGGAAGAGAGAGAGGCAGAGAGAGAGACTGTGAGAGAGGCAGGCGGTAGCAGTTTGTCAGGGTTCCGAATTCTGGCAGTGTTTTTGAGTCCTGCCGTGATGTAGGTGCGTCTGGATCTTTGTGGTATTTTCGCCAAGGCTTCCGCCCAACAGGCGCGAAGGGGTGATCCCAAAGGAAGTCCACCAGCCTCCCTCGACGCCCGAACGAATCTTGGAGGCTTTCTGTCGCTCTTCAAACCAGGGGTCTAAAGGCCGAAGCCCACCCTGGTAGATTGATCCCGAGCATTTCTCCACATTGGATGGCCAGGTACGCATGATCTTCTCTGCTGCTTCAGGTGTGCTTCAGACGTCTCTACGCGGGGGGGCCAGCTTGTTAGGCCTAGTATCATCACGAATCACCACCATCACCCATGCCTCTGCGAAAGCTGAGCAGTATACTCGCCCCCTTGCCTAGAGCTGGCGGGCGCCTGCCTCCGCATACCCCTCCCCAGACATACTCTTCTTCTTCTGCTTTTGCATGCCGCGCGCCCCCTTCAGGGATTGCGCCGGGGCTTCGCACCGTAGCGCGAAGACCCTCTCCGAAAAAGACCCAGCATAGTGCTTCTCCCTTGGAAGGAACGATTTTAACAAAACCCATCCCCCTTGCACGGTTGGGTGCTGCTGCGTGGAAACGGAAAGTTGTGGCTTTGATTCACTACTTCGCTGGCCTAGGAAGAGTTGACCCTAGCATCCCAAACAATGATCGGACCTCAGCCCCTAACAGCTCAAACCAACAGCAGTCTCCCCGTGTCAAAACCCTGCGTTCCACAAAAGATACGGATCGGTTGGATTTCCCAACCTCTGCTTTCTTATAGACATTTGTCACACGGCCAATCAACTTGTCTGCATCGCGAAGCGAGTCTAGCTCCCTATCTTTAGTTTGTCTCTTGCATTGCTTGCTCTGAATTTCCCGCTCTTTGCACGTCGGATTAAGATCGATTCCAAGTTCCCCATATTGCCGGACTATGCACTTTGTTCAGAGCTTTTCGAGTTACTCATTTCACGACAGATATTGGTCAGCGAGACTTCCTAACTCGCCCTGCGGCCGTAGTAAGAGATCAAAACTATCCCCACGTACTCTTTTTCTTGATTTCTTTCTTTCGTTCGGGCGTTGGAAAGAGCTACGGGCCCTTTCGACTTCTCCCCGCCCCGTCTGCTGTCAAGATGCGCAACGGCAGCAATGACGGGTTGTAGAGAGCCCAATTCTTCTTCTTCGGTGGTCGATGAAGCAGCATGGACGATAAATCGAGGACCTGGAGCAGATAAGCCCAGCAGCCGGGCTTGCAGCATGCGCTCAAAATGCAACCCAGGTCTCCTGCACAGACTCGCCATGAATCAGCAACTCCCCAAGCCTGGCCTCAGTTGCCCGTGCGAACAGTAGCTGGCATTTCACTTTACATCTGTTTGTCCTTGTTCTTCTTGATGTTGGATCCCTTTGCCACAGAAGTCCCCCGCAACTTTTCCACGCGACTGTCAGAAGTTGGGCAGAAATTCTTATTAGCCTGAAATCTCGCAGAACACAGGTGTGGAAAGCCTGAGGACGCGACAGTCATGACATCAGAAGTTCCCAGCAGCTTCTCAGTTGCATAACTCAAGCCAGAAATTTTCAAGGCTCCGAAGTTGTAGGGTCCTGAATGCGACTTGCTACTTGAAACTTCATTCATGTTTCTGCCATACGAAGCCCAAGCAAGCGCACATCTAACACGTGCCAAGGGAAAGCAAGGCTAAAAGTCTCCTTCGCCAGGAGCTTCTGCTTTGGCAACCTGCAAGTCAACGGCCCACAGCTAGCCATATGCATACCACGTTGTTTGAATTGTTGCTTTTCTTTTTAAATGTGCTCTGAGCCCCCCCGCTTCGTGCTGGAGTACCAGCCACGGCAGCCAAAGCCTCAGAGCGAGCTGCAGCTGCTGCAAAGTGCGAAGCAACTGTCTTGCGACTGCGTAACGCAACTTCGTTGTGAATTGCTGACGAGCAGCTGCAGAAGCAACATTCGACGTGACTCGCAGCACATTGGACTCAACATGAGACATGCCACGCCATGCATGCCAGCATGCGCTACCCTGGCCACATTAACGTTGCCATATGCTCAAATGAAGTCTTTCTGGCTGTTCTTCTGCTGGACAGCTGTACGTCAACTCAAGCAACCTTGCAAGCTGATTTTGGTTCATGTGTGCACTACATCGTTTGTGTCACGTGCTCCTTGAGCAGACTCACAGTGACTCACAGTGCTTCTGCAGCACAAGGACTGAGAGATTCAGCTGAGATTCGCAACGAGCCTGATGCATCAGGCCTGCCGGCAAGCAGAACCTTTGCTTTGCAGACATGTGCTCTTCTGTCGAGCAACAAACAAAGCCGTCCGTACGACAATATCATGACCAGGACTTGCTGACTCCAGCATCCACTTCAAATTTCCATGGGCCCAGCACTTGCGGCTGAGTCTGAATCGAAAAAACTCAAAAAACAAATTACTTTTGCAGGCCAGATGCTCCCACAGCACATATCAAACCCCATGCCGAGCGCATGCAGAAAAGCGCTGCGTGTCAGGAAAACGCAAAGGATTTTCTGTTCTCTTGTATGATGGAAATCTACAGCAAATATTTCACCTGGGCCCATGACGCTCTGGTCTTCTTGTATTCTGAGCTGCTTGTCTACACACTAATCGTGGAAACTCACGCTTGCACGAACTGTTCTCAGCTGCTGCAGTGGCTCAGTGATGGCCAGCCGTGCACGTCAACGACATGACATGAAGCAGCTAGAAGCTCCTTTGGCACTTGGATTTGTTCCGCCTAAACGTGTCGACTCAACTGATTCATTGACCAGTCTTTGTCAGGCTCACAAGCCTCACACAGGCAAGGACTGGATGCCTCGCCACAGCTCCTCCGCATGATCGTGGCCACGCACGTTGCATTTACATGCATTTACTGGTACAGTAATTGTTGAAAGTGGCGCTTCTCTGGATACTGACAAAGTCTGGGCTTGAACCGGTGGGCTCCAACACTGCGCGGGCTGTACACTTGGGGGCTGCCAGGTCTACAAAAAACTTGCTCGGCTTGATCATGGCTAGCAAGCGTACGATGCCAAAATCGCTCTCCTCCAGCTTAGATCGGAGCACCTGATCATGGGCATGCTTTCGCTGTACTGGCACGTAGGTTCAAGTATGACACGCAGAAATCAATCAAGAATACTGCCCATACTTTTTTCGGACTAATTGTGGGGGCACTGCTATTTCACCCATATTTCTACCTGCTCGTGAAAGCCCAAGTTCTTGATCTTGCTTAATCTCCACCAATCCTACGCCTGACTTGCCTTTTGAGATTTGGGCCAGCCCTTTGTCAAGCGCCTTCTTGGTAAGAGCGGGTTCCTTGTGTAGCTGTCTAACCGAATCCACTCCGAATCCCATATGTACAGGTTCGCACATTTTGTATGCCAATGAAGCTAGGTTGGGGTATGGCAGGGGTATTCGTTCTGCTGGGTCGGCTATTCCCATATCCAGGATTTGCTCCAACAATGCAGCAAGATGTAGATATTTCCAGCATCCCCAACTCTAGTTTGAAAAAGGTCTCGCCTCTAAGCCATTGCAAGTAACATGCCGGTTCCAATGTAGGATGGGACACTGCATTGCCTTCCCTGCAGGCTCAAATGCAATTCGATACCAGTTGCTTGACATCTTGGCTTTCGTATACTTGATTGTCGTTCCACTGTGGTTCTGCTTCCGAGTCCGTGTTCGCCTTGCCTCACTCAACCACATGCGCGCTGCACTTACGAACTAGAAGCACGGCAGCGTGAGTACCACGGTAGATTAATATGAGCGACACACGCGCAACTGGACATCATAGTGGTTTGGCCCTTTTCAGATGCCGAGCTGACCGCAAAGGAAGTCTCAAGCTAGCTAGCAGCAGATGCCTATGAAAAGGCTAGAATGATCCTTTTGGCAAAAGGAATTGACCCGCCTCGATGCTGCGCTTGGACTTCCCCTGGGCCAGGAGGAGGCTGCGCCGACTTTGCTCTGCAGCCTGGACGACCCTTAATGCACCACCATCCTTTGTTTCAAGCCCTGCCATACTCTCCTGGTGACATCTCTACTTGCATCTCTTGTGCTGCACATGCGGGTAGCATCAAGATCGACACATGCATTGTCACTCCTGGCGCCGGGATCTACCGACTAGCTGGAGCAAGCTGGGGTTGCCTCATCTGACCGGCACAGTCGCCTACCGAGACACAGCAGAACTTCACATCTTCTTTCAAAGCCTTTTGAGCTCATAGGCCTTGACACTTTGCATAAGCAACCAGAAGCCTAGCTTAGCTTTCTTCGAGTGACACAATGTCTCGTGAATCCGTTCACGGAGGCAGGAAGCTATAAGCAGCTCTTGTGCTGAAAGCAATGGAAAATAGTCACGGTATTCCCTTCACGTTTGTGAGGTTGCATGAGTGTGACGTCAGACACCTTCAGGTGTAACGTCTGAGAATTCCACGAGGGTGAAACGAAAGGTTACAAACTACGATGACTACGATGAGATCACGCGCTCCATGTCCTCGGCTCGCCTCTTCATCCCCTCGGTGAAGGCCAGCTGCGCCATACCTTGCGTGGCCACTTTTCGAGACCTCCGTTTTCCTTTGCCGTCTCCGTACACGGATTTGAAAAGACCTGCTCGGCTGAAGGCCATGTCCTGCGAGCCTGTAGGATTGCCTGCAGGCTTGTGGGTTTTGAGATCTGGCATGGAACCGTCCTCTGGCAAGCCGGCAAAATTTCGCTTCAGCCTGCTTTCCATCTCAAGCATCCCAAGCTCCACCTTCATGACCATGGCGTCGAGCAACTGCCCCAAAGCGACTCCATCTGCTTGCATTGACTCGAAAACTTTGCGACTGCCTTCTGGCTCTGCTTCACAAGTTGTTGATTCAGAAGGAGTGGGCGAGCAATGCGCGAGCTGAAGTGTCTCTGGCTTCCTGGAAGAGTGAGGCTGCTCAATCTTGTAATCCTCCTCATCATTCTCTGTCACTTGCTGGAACTTGCAGAGATTATGCGAGTTCTGCATGGAAGACGGTTGGGACCCCTCACCTCTCATGATATTCAGGCCTACAGTCAACAGGTCGATCCGGTCAGAGAGATGACTGAAGTAGTGCTTGGACAGGCTGTACAGGTCCTCTTTCAGGCACTCTGAAAACTGCTCTTTAAGTGAATACATACAGCAAATGCGCTTTGTGGAGTTACAGGTCCTCTTGCAGCTGCATGGTCTGCAGCATGTTGTATTTGATGAATCTGGGTGCTGTCTTTGAATCATGCACCCATCGACTAAGAGGACCGATGAACTCCGCCACTTCAATGGTGCCGCTGCCGTCCACATCAATCATGCCTCTATGCAATTGACTTGTTCTAAAAACTAGGTACCGCCACGGTGCTTCTCAAACTTCCCAAACGCAACCTAAACGCATTCCTTCCTGCCCTCTAATTAAGGCATGTCAAGCTCCTGAGGTTGCCAAGTGGCTGAAGAGTTGTTGCAAATCATTCTCATCGATATCCATTACGCGCAAGCGGCTCTGGAAGACTGGATCCCGGCGTGCGCCTCCAAAGGATTAAGCCGTGTTCTAGCTGTAGCTACATTCTGCGTGTTCTGCGTGTTGGGCAGGCTCAGGGTCCAACCTTGTATTAACTCATCCAGCGAGAGCTGGCCACTACCGTCCTTGTCGATCCTCGAAAAGAGCTTCTGCAAGGCTTCCCTGTCCTTCTCAATGTCCTCCTCCATCTCTTCGGCCAAATTCAATATGTCATTCTGCCGGGCCTCAGCGAAGGTGTCGACAACAACCTTAGGCAGGGAAGCATGTAGACAGGAGCACGGCTGTCGGGGCGCCTCCACTCGACAAAAGATACATTCTGACTGAGGTTTCCAGTCGCGCTGCCGCAACGATGATGTTCAGAACCCCGAACACCAGCGACAATGAAGAGCCCACAAAAATGAATGCAGTTTCTGGGTTCCGCTGTATAACAGGAACCGCCACTTGCCCCCAGCTGTCTCCTGCAATGACCGTTTTGAACAGCAACAGGTTGGCATCAATAACTGAGCGTGTTGAGGTCTGACAGTACTCGCAGTCAGCGATGATCTCGTGAGAGTTTTTGACCATGTCCTCTATGATTGGATTCACAACTTCCACTATCAGCATTGCCCAAATTGTCCTGGGTTGTTGAGTTGCTAGGCCATAAACGGGCACATGATTAGTCACTTGTTCAACAGAGGTTGCTCTTGGGCTCGGTGATGGTGCTGGACTCTGAATCTTGACAACTCCGTGAGGCCACACACAACACAGAGCATTGGTGCGTTTTCTGCCGTTTCTCGGCATCTGGTCAGGCACGATGCCTAGCCGTGCTGCAACCAGCCCTACGCAAACACCGAAGCCAACATCTTAAACTGGCCAAACCAAAATTGTATACCTCGCGTCATGCTGCTGGCGTGTTGTCATATGTTGTTGTGGATGGTCGTGGTGGTCGCGGTCGCAGCGGTGGCCCGTGTTGGCAGTGGTGGCCGTCGGCATCATCGTTGTTGTTGTTGTTGTTGGTTGTGGTTGATTGTTGTTGCCGTTTTCTGTGGTCAGCTGTTGTTGGCTTTGTGGGAAAACACTCAGGACAACAATTGAACAAGTAAAACGACACCGGCACTGATGTGGCGGGGGTGGTGATTATTTGAGCTTCTCTCATATTCCTGGCACAACGCACATTGCAGGGCAACTGCCGGTCCAAAGGGTCCGTTAGAGCTGCTAACGACAGCCCTAGCAAAGATGAACAGCTTATCGCGGTTATCTCTTGGGCCTGTCTTGTGGCTAGCCAGCACCAAAGCCACAGAAAACGAAAACAAGCTTTCAAGGATGCCATTAAATGGCCCAAGCGTCATGATGACGAAGCAGAGCAGGAACGACCAGACCAAAGTGCGAAGGCATGTGGCCATCATTGTGACCAACTTCTGCAACTCACGCAGTGCTCTAATTCGGCGGAAAAGCCGCAGCAACCGGAAAATGCGAGCTAACCGCAAAGCGCGCATGACGCTAAGCGTGGCAGCAACGTCTGCCGGGGCCAAGACGTTCATGAGCATCTCTACATAACCACATAAGACAATGGTGACATCCATCAGTGCCATCCAATCTTTGAGAACACCGAAGAGCCCCTTGCCCACAAGGAGAAGAACAACTTCCACTGTGTAGAGTGCCAGGCTGCTGTCAGAGAAGAAGACGAAGAAAGGAGGGGTATCTATCTTCGCTGCGCGGGCGTCGATATCCACCCAAGTGCAAACTGCATCAACCAGCACCACGCAAGCCATGAGATTGCCAACGTAATAGTTGCCCACAAACCACTGAGCCCAAGCCTGCACCCTTGCAGTTGCTGTCATTGCTTCATCCACAAATGTTTCTGCTACCACATGGTCCTTTGATGATGCCAAAATCACAAACCAAGCAGCGACTACCCATGTCCTATGTGTTCATGTCTTAGACGCTACCACCATGTGTGACGCATAGCGGCTCTTCAAGCACAGTACCTCTCATGGTTGCGTCGGGCAGCTGCCTTGATGAAGTCCCCGGCGATCACGGATGCTCGAGCCCGTGGCCTAAACAGGTTTTGGAGGCCCTATCCTTATTGTACATTTTGGGGCCTGGAAATGTACCATCACCCCAACTAGAATATACAACAGCAGGCATAGGCGGGGCAATAGCCAGTCAGCATGAGAAGCTTCAAAACAGCCATGAGCAAGCCGTCAATACTGCAAACAAAGGCTTTGTTTATTGTGCCAATCGGGGGAATGCGTTGGGGCTAGGGGCTGGGCATTGAACATACTGCAGTACGGCAGTGAGAGAGTGTCTGCATGTGACATCAATACAACGAAGAAAAATGTACAATATAGGTGCCCCTTGGTACATTTGGGCAATCGCGCCCAGAACATGTAATTATCCACACCTGGGTACGGGTAGGGTCATTGTACGTTAGTTGGGTGGGGGCCTGATGCTCGCTTCCTTTCCAGTTCGGTGGCTTCCTCGCACTCTCTCTTGCTTGCCTTGCCGTCCTGTTTGTTTATGCCATGTTCTCCTTCAAACTATGCTGCGTTAGCCAGGCTGTGCGTCATGCAGTTTCTTCCCCTGGCCCCTCATACCAACACCCTTCCATGTCTTATCTTCAACGCTGTTCTGGCGATTCCAAACAGCACTAAGGTCAGGCAGCCCAGCGTGGGCTGAAGGGTGGGGGGAGTTACGGGAACCATTTTGGCCGTAACCGTAACGGAAACCAGTTTTCCGGACTGGTATCGGGAACCAGCCGGGGTAACGAAAACCGCAGCCAAAACGTGAGAGAAACCAGGACGCCAAGCAGCCGAAACCGAAACCGGCACCGCAATCCCGGGCCCACAAATGGATCTGTCATGACATGCAAAGAGTCAGGAGAATGTCTGCAGTATGCCATACCACCAAGGTACCCCCGCTCGGTACGTTCACCGGATGGCCCGGTGTCTGACCGCGAGGCTTCTGATATCGTGCGCTGGGATATGGAAGCGAGGGACGCGGCCTTGCTTGCACCACGGCCACGCAACTTGTCCAGGTCCTGACCGCAAGCGAATCTGACTTGGGTGCCGAGCCTGGAGCTAACTGGTCTGACCAACTGGGTTAGGTCTGATGTGGCCATAGCTTAGCCAGCCTCGAAGCTGCCCGGCTCTAACTGGAGCATCCCAAATTCATCGCCATCTTTGTGGGACATGGCTCTCTCAGACACGCCAGGACAGCTACGTGAAACTAGCCATGAAGCCACACGGCGACCAAAATCATGCACATTCTGCTCATGCCACATGTCATTGGATGTCTGCATCTCAGTCAGGAAAGGAAATTGCCTCAGGAAACTGTCAGCAGGAATTGCCTTCTGGCTGAATCCAGGTCTTCTCGCACAGAATGAAGCTCCTGGAAATGAGCACCCAGGATGAGCAGTAGTAAGCAATCAATTCTGGCTGCTTTTTCTTTCACACTCTTGCTTGACGCTTTTCTCTTGAGCCAGCACCAGCTGGCTACCCGGCCAGCCAGATCAGAATGCCTGTGAAGATTGCAGAGATTGCAAAGGGCAGTGCCAGGTTGGACAGCTTGTCCTCAGAGATGTTCGCAACATCGAAGCCAGTTCTACAAATGAATGTTACTTTGCCAAATTTAAAAGTCTCTCCGAGGAAGAGGACGGCTAGGGCATACACTTTGCTCAAGAAAGTGCGTTTGCAGCCTAGGAGCCATTGGGATGCTGGTGAATCCCGTCACATCCTGGCTTGTCAGCTAGATGCAGCCTGTTATTTGTGTTTGCCCCTGCTGCTTCCTTGCTGCGAACTGGATTGGAGTGACACGCGAGTATAAAGCATTGCTGCGAATCGGCATAATAAGGATTCTCTCATGGTGCCTGGTAGCCGATCGTGAGAGAGGCATGTTTGACAACCTCCTCAGGTGGGAAGCACTCTACCCGCCAAGTTAAAGCGCAGCTGAAGCCCACTGTCTTCTACCCAAGTGGCAGAAAGCTTTCCGCTCATTAGGCTGCTCTTGTTGTTGGCCAACCTGCTAGGAACTCACCGGAATTTTGGGTTGAGCTTGGCGAATGCCTTCTGTTCCGCTGAGCCGCGAATCTCGCAGAGAGTTGACTACATTGGTGAAATCATCCCCATCCTTCTGGGGCACGACGAAGAAGCGCACCACAACCTGCAAAATCAATCTAACTTACAGTTCCCGGTTCAGCTTTCTTTGTGGCTTCCCTGCCTCCTCCCCTAGGCGCTCCCCACTGGGAGGAACGCTGCTTACGAGGCTGGTTCCTGTTGACTCCAGAGTGTCAATACCTGAGATGCCACTGCAACAGTGCAAAAGTGACAGTGGAAAGCGGGAGCGCGCTGCAAAGCACTAAGTCAAGTCAAGACTCTGCTGCGAGATTTCAGCAAGGTTGTTACTTGAGAAGCTGGCCGCAAAAAGCGGCCATAGATAGAATTCCTCAGAACCCGTTTGCAGTCGTTCAACGGCGACTTTTCGAGCGCTGAGGTGCAAAGGAGCAGCATGAGGATGTGGTTTTCCTTGATCTTGCAGGCCTTGCACAGCTGCGGCAGCTGCGGTGAGCTGTGAAAGATCAATTGACCCTAGGTTTGCGTTTCAGTGCTGAGAGAAAACATCCGTTAGCGCTGGCTCGGGTTTGTGAGACGCCCTCTGCAGCATCCGGATTGCATGCCCATGGAGCCAGCGCCTTGGAGAGCTCCCCTCTGAACTGTAGTAGCAGGAGAGATAGCGAATGTGAACCAGGAGAATGTCCTGCTGCAGCAAATTCGGAGAGAGGCTTAGTGACTAGTGACTTGCGGAGGGTCATGACACAAGCTTAACTTGCCACGTCCTGGTACAGAGCTCTCTAGAAGGCCGGAAATGTCGGCGTCTGAGTCATCTGCGAAGTGGTCCAGCAGGGCTTGGATTGTCGTGCCTGCCCGGCATGAGGGCTTTCTATCTGTGTACATGCGGCTGCATAGTCGACAGTCACATCTATCAAATTGGGCCTGCCAAGTGCAACTCGCAGGGGAGCATTTTGCTCCACTGCCGTGCGTCCTGAAACAAAGATTCTTCATGAAATGACGGTCTTAAAAGCAGCCATCACCAATACCATGGTCCACATGGTGGTTGGTAAGTGCTGCCGCCATCAATCATCAGGGATGCTCTAGCTTTCAAAGTGAGGCTGCCCTCCATGGCAGCTTTACAGGTCCCTGAAGTTGCAGGAACTCGCAGTCCTCATCGGTGTAGGCTGATTGAAGGCCATCTTCCCCTGTCAAAGGGTCCCCTGCCGGCTGGGAAGCCTGGTGCTACAAAAAAATGCTTCAGCAAAACCTTCAATGCCAGGCAACGAATTGCAAATAAAATATGCTTCTAAAGGAGCCAGCGGATAAGCGCTATCCATCACGTGCTTCATTGGAACACTGTGCTCTGAGCTGTAGACGTTGGCTTCTGTCTTGCTTCTGACAGCCAGGCCAACTCTCCTAGACCTTAAATGCGTGCATGCAAGCAGCCTCAGGTAGCCTGCACGCCTGGTTTAACGGAGCAGCGGGAATGCTAACATTGGCCAGGTTCGAAGTTCCTGCGAATCCGCTGCCGCTGCTGCTGTTGCTGCTGCTGTTGCCCGTTCTTGCTTTCCGTTCCTTCTGGTTTGGTAAGAAGATGGAGTACTTGGACAGGGGGTGGAATAAACAGAGTTGGAAAAGAGAAGTATCAGTTGGAGCTTGACAATTCTCCCTGCATCTCAGCTGCGATGTGCTAGATCCTCAGTTATGTTGCCGACGGCATTGGAATCCTACAGGCTGCCGTGATTACTGCAACTTTCCGAAGCCGAAGCTCGAATCTTGTCTTCGGTGAGGTCGTACGGCAGGCAAGGAACGACGCCTCCACGAGATGGGCTCATAAGCTAAGCCGGGTGCTTGGAACACTTGATTAACATGACCCCGGCACTCGCATCCGACCCTGGCGCCTGAACAGTTTAATCGGGCGCCAGTTCGTTGTCGATCCTGCTGCTTCTGGTCTGAACTGCCTCAGAGAGTCGTTCGTCGCTTCGCACAGGCCAAAGTGCACAGGCTAAAAAGCACAAAATAAGGGGCCAGGGAGCTGAAGTTAGCGGAGGCATCATTCAGCCTGAAGTTCTCAAGGATTCTGAAGGTCTGTGCCAAGCAATAACCCGTAAAACGTGCCCGCATGCAGTGGGATGACAGCATCCTCTCAACTCCATGGCTCGGCAAGGTATGTACATACGAGACACTAGGAAAAAGAAGCTGAAAGAACTAGTCCAAGAAGCAATGATGACAGGGTCGCAACGGCTGCCCTCTCCACACTCCTCTGCAGAAGTAGAACTGGCTTGGCCGGTTTGGTCGTTCCTGGAAGACAGCAGAGGTGAAATCTTCGTGAACTTCCCGGGTGCTGTGGACAAGTTGCAGTTGTGGTGGTAACAGCGGCGGCGCTGACGTTTGCAAAAAGAGCATTCTTGAGGTCAAGAGTGATATGGTCTTGACTGCTGAGGGGTTACTAAACATGCAGAGCCAGCAAGGTTAAGAACCTGATCGTGCCAACCTTGGGCCTCCACATGCATTGACTCCTCTGATCTCATGCACTTCAATTGGGAAGTACTTACTTATCTTTTTTCCAGGGTTTTGTATCGTGCCTTTCTAAAGATGCTTGCGCACCCCTCCTCTTCTGCACTTGCGCGAAATGGCTAGCAAGATAAGTAAGTTTTGCAAAAGATCTGTGAGGTGAACAGGCCCTCTATTTTGCTGGCCCGGGTTCGCTCCTTTGATTGGACATGTGAGCTCCTTTGAACGACGAGGCCTACTGACATGTCCTCAATCTCTGTTGCGGCTTTGCAAGATACGCTGGATACCTCAGTAATAATCCTGCCAAGTGTCTGCCTGATTCTTGTCGTTCACCAGCGAAAGTGCCAGCCAGACAGACAAGCAGCAAAGCAGAAAGACCCATGGCAAGTTCTTCACTACTTGACTGTACCGACAAGAGTTCCTGCATGCTTGCATCTGTCAACAGGTGCGAAGCAATGCTGCAGCTGCTAGGCTTCAACTTCAGGGATGTCTGTGCTATAAAAAGCGCACGGAATTTTCGGAGGAAGAGATGGTCTCAAACCTACAGTAAATGCTTCTCAAAACGTCTATACTTGCCACAAATATGAGTCACCAAACAGGGTGCTAGCCACTGCCGACAGCCAACACCTTCCTTCCTCCGATGTTTGGTGAAACGAGGTTAGTTACCGGGTGGCGTTAGTTTCAGGTCTAGCTGATCGAGCAAAATCAACAAGGCAGAACATTACTTGTGCGACACGAGGGGTGCAAAGCCAAACTGGTTATTGCTTCTAGCAAAAGTATAGCCGAAGGCTCGAACCCGTGTCTCATGAAGCTGACCGGCTGCCAAGCGCGCCAGGGTCCTTCTTCAAGGACTCGTAATGCTCATGCTCCACGTCTAGTTGATCGCGGTTCGCTTGTCCTGGCCACACAAGCTTGCACAGCGGGTAGGCACCTGTGCACCTGGCTCTACTGCGGCCTTGCAGATTGGAGACCTCCCTCTCAGCATTTGCTGCTTCCTCCTCAACTTCTGTCCTCCAAATGCAAGACTCCGCATACTCTGCCAGATGCTCTACCTGTATACATTTGGAGCCAAGCCTGCCTCCTCTTGCGAGATGCCTCCGCATGAAGCTTCGCCTAGCAGGCCCACAAGTACGCTGCCATCCAGCTTGCAGAATAGGATTTGTAGGGAATCCGGGAGCAGAACTTCCACAAATTTTGAGCTCGTTTGACAGTCTGGGAAGATCGCTACTTGTCGTGGACCCAACAAAACCTGTTAGGCATATTGAAACTTCCTAAAGTGTAGCCCATTGCCCATGCCAAAGTCATGTGCTTGGCGAGTTCCCAGGTACCTGGCAAGCATCATACATAAAACTGCATCAAATCATGGATGCAATGCTGCCGGTTAAGCCAGTGAAGCGTTTGCATTAGCAGATCCATGTTCTCAGCACACCCAGCATTCAAGATGCGCTTGCATCAATTCGCAACATGCGCGGCAAGCCTCTTCCAGCGCAGTCATCAACAGAGAGCTTGACGTGTTCTGACGCGTCTGCTCCTGGGCAGGGTCAGAGCACAACGCGTCAAAGTGTGAATTCTACACTGGACTCTACACAGGGGGAGACGCTTGCAACATTTTGAGCGCAAGATCGCACAAGCCAGCTGCACTGAACAACGCGAACCAACGGCTCATCTGGGACCTTGCAGGGTTCCAAGGCTCTGGCAAGCTGCTGGCGCCGGGCTTCCGACATCCTGCATAGCAGCAACTTGTGCAGTGGACCAAAGATGTGGAGTGAGCTAAGTTTGATTTTGTCAGCCCAGGCTTTCTGGCTGCATGGTATAACGGGTACTCAGAGTGCAATTCCTGAACATATCTGGAAGTCCTTCGAGTCTCATCAAGAGCGCCTTGGATCGACCTCGTGGCCACTTCAACATGGTGCAAGAAGAGGAAATGATCAGGAAATGATCAACTTAACCAGGAGGCTAGCCCAATGCCACAATTTGAGTTTGATCCTGCGCACTGACTTCCCAGCGTGATGCCACCCCTTTATTCCACAAGATCTTCACATGCGAACGCCATGTATCATACCAATATTTTGCAAGCGTCTCATGGTTCACACTGTTGTTTTCAGCTTAGATGGACTTTTCAGCGCTGATAGCCTCAAGAACTTCCTTGGAAAATTTCATGGACGAATGGGACGACTCTATTGTATGGGCTGTGGCAGGGTTTGAGGTATTGAAGCTCATATCTGTGAAGTAAAAGCAGCTTCAAGAGCTTCAGCAGCAACATCTGAATCAGACCCTTGTACCAACTTGTACCTTGTGTATTTACAATCGTGAATCCAGACCTTGGGCTTGATCGCTACGGCTGACTACGGTAGCAGACTGAAGGATGGTAACCCTCTCCAGCCACCTCACGCCCCTAAAGTCACATATGCACCAAGCCGAAACCGAGGAAACTAAGACCCACGTTTGGGTTCTTGCAGTGTTTCAATTCAGCGTTGAATTCCGCTCCCGCGCGAGTGAATCACGGATCTGACAGGCCTGACGAGCCTTTGGAGCTGGCATGCCGCCAAAGCAGTGCGAGACTCAGGTGGCGACTGCCTCTGCATGAGCCCCTCGCTCTTCTTGTTTGCCAGCTCCTTGCTGAGCCCATGCAAAGCGTACTTTGCTTCGTGACAGGTTATGATTGCAGTCCGGCTTTTGTTGTGAACTATCGTCTTGATGTTGCATATGTTCTATGAGTACTTACTGCCAGCTTGCCCAGGTCCAGATGCAGCTCTGACTATGTCTATGTGCTATCTTGGTTGCTCTCATGGTCATTGCAACAAGATGAGCAACTTTGAGTTAATACAGCCGTTGGTGTCCCGTCTTACTCGTCTCCTGCGTGAGCTGTAGCTGCTCCGCATCCTTGCTGGCCACAACCTGCCACAGTCGTGGAAGATGAATCCTGAATGACGATGAATGTATGGTTGCCCAACTGTTGCTGCAGTGTCAATGGGCATGCATGTTTGACGGTTCTTCTTGCTTCTTGGTCCTGGTCCTTGGCGGTAGCCGCGGCGGCGGCGCCGGTGGCCGCGGTGGGGGCGGTGGCGGTGGGGGCGGTGGCGGTGGGGGTGGGGGCGATTGTGGCAGTGGCAGCGGCGGGCGCGGCGCTGGTGCTGGTGCTGTTGCTGGTAAAAATGCGGGTACAGATGCTGGTGGAGGCGCTGGTGCTGGTTGAAGATGCTGGTTCTGGTACCTGTGCAGGGCAGGGGCGGCGGTGGCATGGGCAGCGGTGGCGTGTGGGCTGCTGCTGCTGCTGCCAGTAAGAGTCGTCGTCGTAGTAGCAAAAGTGATAAACAGAGTAGCCGCAGAAGTAGTTGAAATGCACATAGTAGGAGCATCACTCTGCCTACCAACCAGGTCCGGCTTGCGCATGTCAAAACTCTGTAACTCATCATAAGAAGAAGAAGAAGCGTAGAAGTACTAGTCAGCAACAGT